ACCCCCGCCCTCCCCCTGCTTCCCCCCGGCAGAAGCTCTGGGGCAAAACAGGAGTCGGAGCAGCCAGTTCCTGGTCTCTGGCAGCACCTTTGGTGAGCGCGTGACACCCTCGGGCTCCCAAGTTGAGAGGCACCGAGGGCCTGAGCAGGTCCTGGTCCCCAGGAGTCAGGGGCAGCTGGCCGGGCAGACGACTCCCACAAGTCCTCTCAGCCGCGCCTCCTCCATCTCCGGAAGGCCTGAGCTCCGAGTCAGCAGCTGCTGCCTGACCCTCCTGCCCGTCTCCGGGGCTTCCTTCCCCCACCCTTCCCGGGAACGCTATTCTACCTGCCTGCCCGCCTACCGCCCAGCAGGCCACACACCCCTGGGGCATGGACCGTATCCTCCTCGGTAGGTACAGGGCCTGGCAGACCAGGCGTTCACGTGCCATCAGAGGACCGTATGAGTGGTGGGTCATGCTCACCATTTCCCCCTTTGGGTGGCCCTAGGCTCCAACTGCACTCTCACCAAGGAGGCTGGAGGGGCAGCGGGGCCCAGGGGCTCAAAAAGCTTCAATCAACCCTCTCCCAACATGGCCTGCTGGTCTGAACTCAAACGAGGACTTCACCTCTTTAGGCTCCAAGTTCCCTTTTACTTATTAATTTTGCTATAGGGTGCATGTGCTTGCCAGAGACAGAGAGAGACACTGAGAGGCAAAGCGAAATCACCACTCAGGGGGATGGCCACACTGCAATTCCTTCTCCTACATTCCCCTCTTGGGATTTTGGGCACACATACATGGTGTGTCCTTTAAGCTGCCGGGTCCAGGATTCAAACTGCACAGTCAGCCATGTGGGATCCCGCTGCCTTAACCTCCACATCTGCTGGCCCTCAGGTTCTCTTATTCGTGAACACACACATAGCAGACCCTTGTGGCAGGACCGTGAGATGGAGCGGAGCCAACAATCCGAGGAGCACAGTAAGTCCTAGGGCCTGGAAAGTGCTGTCCTCCCCCAGCAGGAAGGGCCGCTCCCTGGTCAGGACCCAGCAATCAGACCCCCATCGCTGCAAGGAGCTTCACAGCAGCAACAGGGAAACCCAGGGAAGAGATGCGGTCCATGCCGGTCAAGCAGAAATGTCAGGAGGAACCCAAATACCGGCCAGCTGACAGCTGGAAACACGAAATCCGACATCCAGACAACGGAGTATTACTAGGTGACGGAAGGAATGAGGTCGTGTGTGCGACAGTGAGAACGGACCTCGACCACACGGCGCTGAGGGGGCAAACCAGCCATGAAGGACCACAGCCTGTACGATCCCACTTACAGACATGCCCGGAGTGGAAATCTAGACAGACAGCAGGGTGGAGGTGGCCAGGGCTGGTGTAGGGGCCGTGTGGTGACAGTCAACGGCATAATTTCTTTTTGCGGTGATCCACGGCAATGGACACACAACCCCAGGAACAGACCCAAAGCCTTTCAGTGGCGGTACTGTACAGCGTGTGAATTCTCTCTGTGAAGCTGCTAGAAAATCAGGTAAAGCCAATGGTCCTGCCGATGCTTTAATTTAGCCACTAAACCTACCAGAGATGGAGGGAGCATAACCTGATGGGGTTTGATCCCTTTGGCAAGGGAAGCCCACTCTTTCTGGAAGGTGTGCAACACCTGAAAAGGTCCGGCCACGTGAGCACCCTGGCGCTCCAGCCGCGGCTCCCACTCCCAGCCCCGGTCCTGCCCAGCCCGGAGGGCTCAGGTTGAGGATGGTGCACAGCCTCGCCACGCAGTGCGCCTGCTCCCATCACCTCATGCGGTCATCCAGCCCGCCGTCCCGCTGGCTCTACGCCCCTCACCCTGGGACTGCACCTCCCTTGTACTAAGTCCTCGGGGGTCACCCAGGGGCAGACCCTGTTTACTCCCCAGGTTCCCCTCTCAGGCCTCCTGGCAGGCGTGGGACACTCCTGCAATGCTCTGACCACTCCCGGCTCGATGGCACCAGGGGACGCGGCTGGCAGCCTGCTTACGATGGCGGCTGGGCCAGTCTCTCCCGACAGGTCGTGAGTCCGGGCGGCTGCCAGCTTTCCACACCACAATAATCACCGTGGGACCCCCGCAGGAGGGGTGGAGGTGGGCTCGATTTCCTTTATTGTGTCTTTAAGTTTATTTATTTCTTCTTGGGGGGTTGGAAGGGGTAGCTCTCCCCAGCGTCCTTGTGGCACAATCAACCCCCAGCTTCAGGCAGCCCAGATCACAGGCACGTGTGTGTGCCGATGTGTCGGGGAGGGCCCGGGGTGCAAAGCCAGGACCTGTCTCCTGTGGGTCCAGCTGTCCTAATGCTGTGCCTCCCCCACACCCTTTTTAAATGTATTCATCTGTCCGGGGCTTTGAGTACCCTGAAAGCAACTCCTGAGGAAACACAGGCAGGTCTGTCTGATCGGCACCTCACTCTCAGATGCCCTGAAGGAAGTTTGTTCTGCTGATTATCTTTAAAACAAAGGCTTAGGTTTTGGAGAAATGCGATGACCTTAATATAAAGATACCCTTGGTGTACGAGGGGGCCTTTCCTCACGCGCCTGCGAGCAGCGGGTATCTGGCCGTCTACACGGTTCTGGCCTGGCTCCCCCGCCCAGTTACGCTCTCGACATCCCGAATCTATCGGGGGCATTCATGGGCCACGAGAGGTCCTGTGGTTTCCCCGTCAGTAGCCTTAGCTGCAGGTGGTGTGTGGTCCTGAGACAGCCGATCATCCTTTTCCTCTGGAACTAAAGCACTGGCTTATCGAAGCAAGCGGAGCTGGGACTTTCCGACTTGATTTATGACATGTTTAGAGAGCTGGCATAAACAACACACTGTGGTGGGAATACGCAACGAGTGAAGGTGCAGTTTATCAGAAATGATGTAAGCACCCGGGTATAACAGCGGTGGCGCAGGAGTGGAGGCCACGCAAGTTCCACCGAAGAGAAAGACGCAGCTGCCGTCTCGCTCTCACACTTGTTGGGGTCCTCATTTTGAAAATAAAAAGGGGAAGGAGGATGTAATTTTCCTTCTCAGTAATGCCATGGGTGTGTGTGTGTGGGGGGTCTCTGTAGATAGAACTTTCATATGAAGGGTATTTAAACATTTCTTGGAAAATGCATGCTATGAAAAAGCTATGCATGGGGGACCAGCAGGTGGTGTGGTGGTTAAGGCGCTTGGACACTCCCTCATGGCTGGCTACGGTTTGAGTCCTGGAACTTGCTTTCTTGTGCTCTCTCTCTCCCTCTCTCTCTCTCTGGTCAAATTAAAATAAATGAATGAATAAATAAGATTTTTTGAAAAAGCTATGCATGGATTGTAAAATATTTTTGCATCAAAATAAACTTGTACTTTAACTTTCCTATGAACTTTTAAAAAAGGAATTATTGATTTAATTCCATTTGCTATTATTATTATTTTTTAAATTGAACAGAAAGAGACAGAGAGAGAAAGGGAAAGTGAGAAACAAGCTGCCAGGTCTGGGACTTGAACCATGGTAGGCCATGGAGGAATCCAGTGCCTTTAACCACTGTGCCACCTGTCAGCCCTTCCCATGAAGTTTTTCAAGTCTCTTCACATTGAAGGATTCCAAGTATCCCATTATTCACATTTTTTTTTTTGAGAGGTTTTTGCTATAGGGCGCATGTGCTCGCCAGAAAGACAGAGACAGAGAGACAGAAAGCGAGAAATCAACCCTCGGGGGGGATGGCCACGCCGCAATCCCTTCTCCTCCATTCTCCTCTCGGAACCTTGGGCGTGCAAGCACATGCACCCGGCGTGAGTTTAAGTCACCGGATCTGGAACTCGAACCATGGTCAACTATGTGGAAATCCAGCAACACAGTCATTATGCCAACTGCTGGTCCCACAAAAAACTTTTTTTAAAATAAACACACTCCACCTTTGCTAGAGCGTGGCAAAGGAAATGGCCCGTCACCATGTCTGTGTGACAACTGGTTCTTTCCGTGGCTCAGAATTTGTGCAGAAAGAACCAAGATGGGAAAGTGACGAAAGAGGACACAAAGTCCCAGGTGACGTGCACAGCAGCGGCCCAAGAGCACGGCATCGTCACACACACGGCACCTGCCAAACCTGCTCTCTTCCAGCCTCTGCCCAAACAAAGCCACGTCGAATTTTTATTTGGACACCCAAAACAAAAATGAAGACAAAAGCAACAACTGGCACACCCAAACATGTCTTTCCCTGCCTCTCAGGGCTCGGGGAGAAGGCCAGTTGGTTCAGAAAATGAGAACAGCCAGGCTCGTACTCACATGTCACTGCCTGGGTGGGGTTTGACCGCGTCCTCCGCTGGTAGGCAACACTCCATAATCTCATTAAAGCCTGCATTCCCAATATTCTTGGCAAGCTGCAAAAACAAAAGTCTATTTCAGGGTTTTCAATTATTAATACGTTCCACTGTGCACATCACTCATACATCTGGTGATTTATTTAATGGCCTCTAAGAAATAGAGCAATAAAGTGGTTTGCCTTTAATGAAGATGGACAAAACGCAAAGCCCAGAGGCACCCATAAAATTACAGCAGGGGAGTGCCTGCTGCAGAGAAGTGTTCTCATAAAACATCCCTGCACAGAGCAGGGCCAGGCAGGAACTTGGCTCAACGAGTGTCTTGGTTCTTTGTCCCCATCGGCCCCAAACCTGGACTCCAGCTGAAATGCACCTTCCACATGCCCTCCAAACAGCCTTTGCTTAGGCCAGCTGGGGCGGGGGGACTCTCCTGCAGCAGCAAAGACTGGGGGGCATGTCCTATGACAGGTGCGCACCCAAAGGAAGTCAGTTACCATCAGTCAAACCGGGATGACGCCCACCTCACCGGCTGTCCTAACACACAACGGGGCACTCCAGGTGCAACGCTCAGCAGATGGACGCACTAAGCGTGTGACGTGTTAGCGCCAACGTGCGCTCTCCACGTGCCAGCCCGTCAGACTTGCACTTCTGACACACTGTGACGGGTGCTCACTGAACACCAGGCACAATGCTGGGTACAGCAGATCTGGAGACCAGTACCCGGTTTACATCACGCTACCTCGACGGTATGACACAGCCAGCCTTCTGTTGAATGAATGAACGACTAGGAGTTCCTTAAGAGTAGGGATTTATTTCCCAACCAGATCAGCATCTGACACAGAGGTCAGCTTCCAGGTCAAAAATTTTTTTTAACTATTTATTGAGAGAAATTTTTGCTAAGGGTGTGTGCGCTTGCTGGAGAGACAGAGATGGAGAGAAGGAAAGCAAGAAATCACCCCTCAGGGGGGATGGCCACGCAGCAATCCCTTCTCCTCCACTCTCGGGATCTTGAGCACCACGCACATGCACCTGCCGTGAGTTTTAAGCCACTGAGTGTGGGACTTGAACTGTGGTCAACTATGTGAAAGTTCAGCAATGAAACCATTCTGCCATCTGCTGGTCCCTCTTTTCACCATTTTATGAAAATAATTGAATAACTGCCAAGTTGGTCACATATATCAAGTTGCTCTGTAATTACTAGTGATGGATTATCCTGATTCATCCTTTCCATCTTCCTGTTTCCTATGTAGTCTTCTCCAAATATTTATGATGAAGCCTGTCTTTATCTATTTGTGCTGCTGTAACAAAATATTGAGACTAGGTAATTTATAAACAAAAGAAATTTATTTCTCATAGTTCTGGAAGCTGGGAAATTCAGGATCAAGGCACCAGAAGGTTCAGCATCTTGGGAGGGTCTCATTCCATGGTTCCAAGATGGTTTCTTGTTTTTCTTTTTTAAAGAGATTTTTGCTATAGAGCATGTGTGCTTGCCAGAGAAACAGAGAGAGACAGAGAGACAGAAAGTGAGAAATCATCCCAGCCCTCGCTCTGGGGCCTCAAGCCGCAGTCAGGAGGCAACAGCTGAGATGCCGGTTTGCAGTCTCCCGGGGATGACTTAGTGGTCAGAGTGGCACGCCACGGTGACAGCATCGACGCACCATGAAGCTAAAGCCTGTGTAGGGTTTCTGGGACAGTGGTCTCGGAGCCAGGGCTGACCTGCTATCAGAGTGCCAGGCACGCCCAAATGCTCCCAGCTAACGACACGGCAGAGCCGGCCTCCCTAGCTGAGCCGTGCAGTCCTGACGGTGGATGGCAGAGAAAACACCACAGCTCCCGGACACAGAGGGGCCACCCTGAGGCCTGTAGTCTGTGCTGAGCAGATGGGAGAGGTGGCAGAATTCCCCAGGAGCCAGAAAGCTTCCCTTCTGCTTGGACTTGGCTGGCTTCCCAGGGGACAGCTGGTGCAGGCGGCCTCTGCATCCGTGCCTCACACCCTCTGCCGCAGGGGGTGCCACTCACAGCTCTGCCAAGTTCCAGGTTACACTCGGGCTCAGAGAACCGCCTGGAAACACCAACAGAAGCGTAGTGTTTGCAGATGGAGGCCACAAGGTCACATCAAGAAACCGTGGGGCCCGGTGGATCAGGCAGGCGAAAGCCAAGGAACAGTGGCTCTGAGTGCCGGCACCTGGCCTTCCCGCTGTCACTCAGAAGGAGCCCAGGGCTGTGCGAGGCAGACAGCGTCTAGATGGCTGGAGGAGAGGCTGGGTGGTTTCGTGCCCCTGAGTGCCGGTACCTGGGCCTTCCCGCTGTCACTCAGGAGCCCAGGGCTGTGCGAGGCAGACAGCGTCTAGATGGCTGGAGGAGAGGCCGGGTGGTTTCGTGCCCCTCACCGAAGGCAGCGCGAGTGCAGCCTTCATGCTGTCCCAACACGCACTGAGCCCCGGTGCCCGCCAGGACCCGGCATAAGAGACACCGTCCCGCCGGATGGCGGCTCTCCTCACAGGACAGGGGAATTGCTGAGAGACAAACCCCGCATGGCCAGGCTGCAGGAGTTGGTCCAAGCACTGTGCAGACAGACGGGGGGGCCTGGCGAGCAGGGCAGTCCCAGCGTGGGGAGGACCACACTCCTGGGTGCGTCTGCGCTGGGCTCACACCCGAGACTGTGCGTGCCCCTTCCCCTTACTGTCGGCACGTGTGCAGGACGCAGGACCACAGCGTTCACCCTCACACCGACCAGGGCCCACAGGCCAGAGAGGCCCGGGCTTCCCCTCGGAATCGTGTCTGGGGTTTGGGATGGGGAGTCCAGGGGACGACACCAAAGACTGGGATGCTCTTCGGCTTGCTCTGTTCTGACTGCCAGGAATGGGATGGGCGGGCGGGGACGGGACTTCCCTGACCGTGGGCTCACGGGGAAAGGTGGCCAGCATGGGGCACCTGCCTCCTGCCCAGCCTGGACTGGCTCAGCAGGTGAGCACGCCATTCCCACATGGGAACCCGGTCACCAACTTGGTCTCCGCCAACAACGAACCTGCTTTGGGATCTCCCTGCTTTGCCGACCTGTCTCTCAGCTGGTTCTTGATCCACGCAGGAAGATGGGGTGTTGGGAACCGGGCTGCTCGGATCCCAGCGGGGTCACTGTACACTTCTGGTGGACAGCGGGTGAGGGCCCAGGCAGTGGAGGGGCCCCGGCACAGGAGCAGCACTAAGGAATGCAGGGTGCTGACCCGACGGGGAGCACCGAAGGGCACACAGCAGGTGGAGACACATTTGTGAGTTATGCTAACCTGCTAACCTGGCCTTTAAAGGGTGTTTCCAATATATTTTCTGGAGTTTTTGTTTTTTTTTTTTTTTTTTTTTGCGCTCCAGGATCCGACAGACAGGGAGAGATGGGGAGACAGAAAGTGAGAAATCGCCTTCTGGGGGCATGGCCACACCATAATCCCTTCTCCTCCGTTCTCCTCTCGGGATCTTGAGCATGCATGTACACACGCCTGGCGTGAGTTTAAACTGCCGGGTCTGAGACTTGAACCTCAGTCAGCTACACTTCAGTCAGCTACAGGGCAGTTCAGTGACATAGCCATTATGCCAACTGCTGGTCCCATTTCTGATATTTCAACACACATGTGTTTTGGTGCTCAAGTTCAGAGATGGGTCAGCTCCATGGCCTGGTGGTTAAAGCAGCAGGATCCCACATGGCTGACTGTGGTTCGAATCTCAGCCCCAGAAGCTTGAAAAATCTGCCAGGTACATATGTTCATGTGTGCCCCCCAAATCTCACATGGATGAGAGACAGGAAAAGGGACTGCAGCAGGACCATGCCCCAGTGGGAAGCGCTCCCTCCTCCTGTCCCTCTGCCATTCTGGCTAGCATCTGTATGTGCCTTCTGACAAAATTGTCAAAAACAGTTTTTAAAAGTTTAAAGTTGCAATTACAAACTAACAAAAAACAGGCTCTAGTGTCTAGCAGTCTGCAGCACTGCCCTTGGCTATGTTGCACTAGGGAGATTTCTCCACCTCTCTGGTCTTTTTTTTTTTTTTCCTTCCATGAGTGAGAGACTGAGACAGAGAGACAGAGAGACAGCTCCTCCAACAGGACCTTCACGCTGCACCTCCCAGCAGCTTCGCCGTCCCTGATTGTGAGCACACGCATGCTGTGTGTTCAGGGAGGAAACCTGGCCCCCGCGTGTCAGCCTTGCAGTGTCAGTGCATCTACGTCACGTCCAGCCCCACGGCCTCGGGTGTGAAATGAGTTCTGGATTCTGTTAGATACGACACACACACAGCGCCTCTGACGATCCCTGATGCGGAACAGAGGTCCGATAAATGGTCACTGAAAGTCTTTCTGTGGCCAGCATGTGGCATGGTGGCTAAGATGTTGAACTCTCTCATGGTCAACCGCAGTTCAAATCCCAGACCTGGCAGCTTGAAAATCATGCCGGGCACACATGCGTATAAGCCCAAATCCCAGGAGGAGAGTGGAGGTGATGGGATTGTGGCAAGGCCATCCTACCAGGGTGTGATGTCTCACTTTCCCTCCCACCGTCTCTCTGGCAAGTGCACACGCCCTATGGCAAAAAAAAAAAAAAAAGAGTCAACCTCTTGCTCCCCTAAGCAACTGCTCCTCATACCAGAGCAGCTTCTCGCAGTCACCGGTGAAGCAGCATATGTAAGCTCTCAGTTCTGGTCTTTGAAAGGCTTTCCTCTCCATAGGCTTTTTTGCAGAGTCGGCTGTGGGGTGACCTGGTTTAGTATACCTCCTTGCTCCACAGATTACTGACATGTTCTTCGATCCAGGGAGAGTTTTAATTTACTGACTCCAATTCGACTTCAGAATACCGAGATTTGCTTTATCAATCTTGTAATAGTGAAGTCAGCCGTGTGATACCAGCGCCCTCCGAGCAACGCTATCGCTCCTCATATGCCTCTGAAGAACACAGTGCTGGGGCAGTGGTTATGTAGCTGGACCGCACACAGCCCTCTGTGTGGCTGAACGCTGGACCCGGCAGCTTAAAAAACAGGCTGGGCACGTGTGCCCAAAACCCCAAAGGGAGAAATAGAGGA